TTTGCTTGGGTTACTTGGAGCACTTGATTGGAAAAGTAACTGCCATTTAATAAGACTTCCACTATTGAGCTTGTGATGATGGAAGAGCCCATGTAGAGAGTCCCCCATTGAGACATCCAAAAGAGAAAGATGTGCCATGTTTGTTTTTTAAGTCTCCAGTGTTGTTTCTGTTCTTTCGTGTTTTTGAGGGGCCTACCACCCAGCACCCAAAATAAACACAAAGAGGCTTATTATTACTTATGAATGCCTGGACTTAGCTTGGCTTGTTTCTAGAAAGTTTTTCTTAACAAATTACCCTGACTATATTTTGCCTCTGGGCTTTTCCTGTTCTCTTACTTCTGTAATTCTTACTCTTATTCTGTGAATTGCTGTGTTACTGGGTGGCTAGGCGGCTGGCCCCTGATGTCCCCCTCTCTGTTCTCTTGCTGCTCTTCAATCCTAGTTTCTCCTTCTATTTATACTCTCTGCCTAACAGCCCTGCCTTTCCTTGCTTCTGCCTTCCTATTGTCTGTTCAGCTCTTTATTAGGACCACTAGGTGTTTTAAACAGGCACAGTAACACAGCTTCACAGAGTTAAACAAATGCAGCATAAACTAAAGTCACACAACTGAAAATAATATTCTCCGACACTCCAGTTTATCTCTGTTGATGCCATAGTCATCAGGGAACAGAAAAATATCTCTGCATCTTTTTGTCCAAATAGTTGATGTGTGCTATAAAGGAATACTTGCTATTTTAAGTCACTAAATTTTCCCCCTTTTTTGAAAATAAGTTCTTTTCTCATACAGTATGTCATGATTGTATATTCCCTCTCATCTATTCCTCTCAGTTCCTTCCCACCTCTCCTCCCATCTGTATTCACTCCCTTACTGTCTCTCATTAGAAAATAACAGGCTTATAAAAGGTAGCAATACAAAATATAAGATAAAGCAAAAAAACACATCACATTGAAGTTGGACATGGCAAACCAACAGAAGGAAAAGAATCCAAGAGCAGACAAAAGAATCAGACCCACTGGTTCACTTGGGGGTTCCATAGAAACACTAAACTGAAAGTCCTGATGTGTGTGCAGAGGGCCTGATGTAGACCTGTGCAGGCCCTATTCTTGCTACTTCAGTACTTGCGAGTTCATATAAGTTCTGATCAGTTGATCTAGAGAGCCTTGTTCTCCTGCTATATCCTCCATACTCTCTGGCTCTTAAATTCTTTCTGCCCTCTCTTCCACAGGGTTCTGAGCTCTGAGAGGAGGATTTGATGGAGACATCCCATTTGGACCTGAGTTCCAAGCTTTTATGCTCTCTCTCTCTCTCTCTCTCTCTCTCTCTCTCTCTCTCTCTCTCTCTCTCTCTCTCTCTCTCTCTCTCTCTCTCTCTCTTTGTCTCTCTTCTCTCTCTCTGTCTCTCTGTCTCTGTCTCTGTCTGTCTGTCTCTCTCTCTCTCTCTTTCTTTTTCTCCCTCATTCCCTCCCTCCCTCCTCCCATCTGTCTGCCTGTCTATCTTTCCTTAATACCTGTCTGTGGGTCTCTCTTATTTGTTCCCATCTGTGGCAGGATCAAGCTTCTTTGATGTTTTTAAATGGTTTGTAATAAAGAAATTATCAATTAACACATGTTTCACCAATTTTCATATTGGTTCTGAGTGCGCAGAATCCCTTTAATTACCAGTCATTTAATTGAATATAATATGTCTGCATAAGTGTCCATAACTGTCAGGTACGAAGTGAGTTGTTGCAGGTACAGATGTTTCACATCCTTGTGTCTCTTCAGCACTTGACAGTTCACATAAAAGATGCTAAGAAATTACAGATACCTCCACCACATCCTCTTACAATTCATTTTTCTCCTCTCCTCTTCTTTTTCATCTTCCACATTGAGTCTGATTAGTACAGCCAGTATTCACGTGGGTGTAGGGCAATCCACTGGAGTAGGGACAACCATCTTGGGTGACATTCACAAAGAAAACTGACTTTCCCTTCCAAAAAGGCAAAGTATACAAGGAAAGCAATGTTCTTAATCCTAAATGCTAAGGGTTTTGTTTTTAGTCATCTTTAATAAAATTGAAATCAGATAAAAAGAAATTATAGATAGAAATTCTTAGTGTTGATTTACACGGCAACTAGCAAGCACAGAGAGGCCATTTCTGGTTTTGGTAAGTCATCGTAGCAACAAAGGGACTATTTTACGTTGCCTGTGTAGGCTTCAGTACTTCCCAGTATTCTGCAGCTTATTGTCAATGTTTCATACTGTGGAATAATTGCAAATAGAATAATAACAGAAGGTAATGGCTTCAATCAGGCAGATAGTAGTAGAAAGAAATGGAATTGGTGAGCGATAAGAGCCTAGAATCAGAGTTAACAAAGCTTACTGAAAAATTAGATGATTTTTAAACATTTATGTGAGGGATTGCATTTTGGTAACATTTCTTAATATGGGATGATTTCTTAAGATAATAAGGAGAGCAAAAAAGAAATCATTTTGGATTAACTTGTGTGTGAAATATGCATCAGGTAGATTATCTGGAAATGAGAAGAAAGACCATGGGAGTGAGTAAGATCAAACAAAAGAAAAAAAACTAGTGAGGGAAGATAGTAAAAGAAATGGATTGGGAAAAGGGAGAAAGGAACGGTTTGTAAGAAAATCATGTTGTCATCAGATGAGAATATTGTTCATATTGATTTTTGGCCATTAGAGCTTAGAAATGGTTATTTAAATAAACTAGAATCATCAGTGATGATGACTCTGTGACTAGATTTGTGATTGATCTAACTCAGTCCTTTAAGACACACTAAAGCAATCAGATGATTTGTTAATGAGGAAAAACATTAAAATCCATTTTGTACATGTAAAATATTACATTTATAAGAGTAGCTTTAAAGTACTCTAGCATCTGTATTAATGATCTGTTAATGCACTTCTCAGGAAATTGAAGTCATTTGGTCCTCAATGTTTCATGGCTTACAGTACACTTGAGGCTTGGATTAATTTCATTTTTATATATCGTTTTTGGTTGATGTATTTTTGCAATTCGACTACTCAAACCAGGCTTTCATGGAGGAAAATATGTTTTAAAACATATAGTCACAAAAGTTTTACATTTATCTAAGTGGCATAAAATTTAAAATATCTTTGGTAAATTTTCCAGTGAATTTACATGTCAGGAAAAAAGTTCCTTTATTTCCTGCTGTTAAAAAAAGAGTTATTTTCTTTCAAAAGAAACGTGGGTGCCAGATACCCTGACTTGATCGGTGTTTGTTGGCCAGCCAGCCTAGACAATCAGTTAGCCAGGTTCACTAAATGCTGTCTCTTAAAACACCAACGACAATTTATGCTGGAGAGGATGTGGTGAAAGGGGAACACTTCTCCATTGCTGGTGGGAGTGCCAACTTGTTCAGCCACTTTGGAAATCAGTATGGAGATTCCTCAGCAAAATGGGAATAAACCTACCACAAGACCCAGCAACTCCACTCTTAGGCATATATCCAAAAGATGCCCATTCATACAACAAGGATGTCTGTTCCACTATGTTCATAGCAGCATTATTTGTAATAGCCAGAACTTGGAAGCAACCTAGCTGCCCCTCAACCGAAGAGTGGATAGAGAAAATGTGGTATATTTACATAATGGAGTACTATTCAGCAGAAAAAAACAATGGAATCATGAGATTTGCAGGCAAATGTATGACATTAGAAGAAACCATCGTGAGTGAGGTAACCCAGTCACAAAAAGAGAAACATGGCATGTACTCTCTCATATATGGATTTTAGACATAGATCCGGGGAGTGCCAGCCTACAATCCCATGGCCAGAGAGTCTGGGAAACAGAACCTTCATTCAGTGGCTGATGGAAGAAGAGGCAGACTCCCATGGCTAATCACTGAGCTGAACTCAAGAAATCCAGTGACAGAGAGGGAGGACTAATGACCAAAGGGATTAAGACTGGGTTGGTTTAACCCCAGAAACAGCTGACCTGACAAAGGTTAACTCTTGAATCCCAGGCATTAGCCTGGTAATCCAGCATGGGACTGATCAAGACCCCCTGAATCTGGGTGTCAGTGAGGAGGCCTAGGTAATGTGTTGAGCCTTGGGCAGTAGATCAGTACTCATCCCGAATATACACACAGACTTTGGACTCCCATCCAACTATGTGAGATGCACTCTCACCCTGAACTCTTGGGGGAGGGTCTAGGCCCTGCCCTGAAAGAAATGACAGACTATGGACACCCCCATGGAGGGCCTCACCCTCCCTGGGGAAATGAGGGGATAATGGGGGGGGTTAGGGGGAGGGCACGGGAAGAGGGAAGGGAAAGGGAGAGGGACCTGGAACTGACCTGTGAAGCAACCTTGTTTCTAATCTAAATTTAAACTTAAATATAAATAATAATAATAATAATAATAATAATAATAATAATAATAATAATAAACATCATAGAGAATGATGGAAGAAGACACCTGGTCAATTACTGGCCACATGCGACATTCCACACGTACCCACAACACACATGCCAAAATAAACATACAAAGACTAGATCAGGGTAATATATCTTAATCTCAGCTGTAGAAATTAATAGCAGGTAAAGTCAAGGTCAGGCCATAATTCTCTCTAAAAATGCTCAGATTTGGATAAAATGAACTCATTTTATTTTCATGCTGAGATCTGCATGTTAAGATCAAGTATTATATATTTATTTTTATCACAGATTATCAGTAAATCCTACCTGGCTGAAAACCAGAGCAGAAGAAGGTACATCAAAGCCCTTGCTTTTCCTGGCTTACTTCCAATAAATACTCTCGTTGCAAACTTTAGTGGACACGCACACAAGGATAGTGGATTTAATTCTCCACATTATCAGACTTATGTCTGTTGTGTTTGCAAACCATAAAAAGTGTTATAAGATACTGCATTTGGTTGTTGGCAGCCTTGCTTTCTTGGCTGTGTCATTTGTCCACTGTGTCAGAGTACAAATTTAGATACTTTTATACATAGTCAGAGTGTCATCTTTTCACCCACTGATTTGTTTACACTTCCCAAGTACAGCTACATTTGTTGGAGGGTCTTTCCTCAGAATACATAGAGACAGGTATGTGTCTGATGTATCTGATCCTTTTAAAACACTTAACATTTAATAAAATATGAAAGGGGATTATGTAAGAACTCAAATAGCTGTTGCATAAGGAAAACTTAGCCTGTTACTGAAAGTTAGTGTATTGTCAAGAGAAATCCATCTCTGTGTTTCATAGTAACAAATTTGGGGGTTTGAGACACTTACAATATTAAGTTTTGGTATTTATTTTATATTTAATTTACATTATAGTTTGCTAAAAGACTCATTACTAAGTCTTGATTGTAGTTTTTCTAACTCATAGCTACTTCGTGCACATCACTAGTGAAAAGTCCTTTTTTTTATAAAAGCAGCTATTTGAATTGCTACATCCTCCTTTAGCAAAGCTCTTTATATTGTACTGAATCGAATAGCTGATATATTTAACAATTGTGAGTTGAATATTTCTGATTAATGGAACTCTTATAGTTAAGACTGCTTTTGGGAATTTAAAATTTAAAATTCATTATTGGCAGTATCCACAGATGACTGTAATTATATGGATTACTCCCTGTGGTTTCTGAATTCACTCTTTTAAAATAACAATAGTTGTCAAAAACATAGGATTAAAAACCCAAAAGTCTCTGCTCTCTTTTAGAATTTTTATCCAAATAGCCATCCTGCCGTTCTAATATCTTCCTCCTCTGTCATCTCTTTATCTCATTTTGTTTGTTTTCCATCTGGTGTTTCTGGCTTTGGTATGAATAATGGTCATGTACTCTGAATTACTAGAAGGGACTAGAAGCTAAGTAGTGAGTGAAGGATAAAGGACTGTGTCCTTAGCCTAGTAATACAGAGTCTTTTCCTCTCTGACTCATCCAGAATCCATGGGTAGCATCCTGGGCAGAAGGAATAAAATGTTCCAAACTGTTTGTTAATAGGTATTCTCAAGTAGAATTTCGAAATATTTTATAAAGGTTTACTTTTTATTTAGGTGAGTGAGAAAATGTTTAGTAAAATTTATGTCTCTAGGAAAATTAAAATAAAATATTAATAATATCAGCTGTTACTTTTTGCCTTCTTTGTGTTGTGTGTGTGTGTGTGTGTGTGTGTGTGCAGTGTGTGTGTACATGTCTGTGTGCATCATTTTTTAAGTGAGAAACTTGCATTGCTTAGAATAATTTTGTAGATATATACCACATCAAGTTTAAGACATTCCTTCCTCTAAATTGCTAAGAATAAGGTTCATGGGGGAAGAATATTGGTGTTTTTTTTTTAGAAAAAAATTGCAGCCAGGCGGTGGTGGCGCATGCCTTTAATCCCAGCACTCGGGAGGCAGAGGTAGGGGGATCTCTGTGAGTTCGAGGCCAGGCTGGACTGACAGCCTCCAAAACAATACAAAGAAACCCTGTCTCGTAAAACCAAAAAAAATTGCAGTCAAATTACAGTCACAATACAAAATGTGAAAACTTAATAAAGTAGCTGAAGATGACAGGTTTTGTAAGTGACTTTCCATAATATATGTCCTGCTTTTCCCCTAATAGTTAATAGTTAATTTATTCTTCCAAATAATATCTCCTTTGATAGGAAGACAATTATAACCACATCATCAGTTAATCTTTGTATATAGTTTAAAACATTCAGTTGGCTAATGAGCTAAGTAAAGAACAAACAAACTCTTAATTTTTTAGGATGTCGAACCTGGGAGAGTATGAGATGGACTTTTACCAATCTAATTATATCATTGATCAGCAAGAGCAGAGCTATCATGACTCTAATGCTTACGGAAACCTTTATGGATCCAGACAGTAAGTATTTTACAGTGAAGAAACATACTCCTGTTTTTAGAATGGTCAGTGTTTAGTCAGTCAGTTCCTGATATGTAGTTTCTATTGAGGGAAGACCAAGTTAACTGAGCAGTTGTCAATGAAGTATCACCCACTAAATGACAAGGATAGATCAATTACCCTGATTTTCTGTGAATACTTGGTGCTTATGCCAAGTTAATACTTTATTTATTCTTTAAAAAACAATGATTTAGCTGGGTGAATCCCAGAACTGGCAGAGGCAGGTGAATCTCTGTGAGTTTGAGGCCAGGCTAGTCTACAGAGTAAGTTCCCTGTGTCTTTGTGTGTTATGAACTGCACTGAGTTTATTAAAGGAAGTCACTGGAACCATGAGAAACCCTATGAGATTACTACTAGTTTTTGAGAAGCCAGCCACAAAGATATGTTGCTATTTTATTTTTATTTTTTAATTTTCTTTTGGTTTTTCGAGACAGAGTTTCTGTATGTCTTTGGAGGCTGTCCTGGAACTAGCTCTTGTAGCCCAGGTTGGTCTGGATCTCATAGAGATCTGCCTGCCTCTGCTTCCCGAGTACTGGGATTAAAGGTGTGCACCACCACCGCCCAGCAATAACTTTTAAAGGTTATTAATCAGATGTGTTTCTTGTTGCTGTGTGTGACATATTATCACATTATCATCTTGAAGAAGGAAGACTTTCTTTTGTTTTTGTTTTTCTTTAACTCATGACTTGAGGCTACAGTCCGTTATGGAGGAACAGGGGACTCATAGAGGCGGTGGTTTGAGATTACTGGTTACATTGTGCCACAGTCACGAAACAAAAGTAAAGATGAATGCTGGCATTCACATCATTTTATCAGATCAGGGTGTCATAGCCCACAGAGTGCTGCAGCCCTAAGTTAGGATATGTGTTTCCACCTCAATGAATCCAACCTAGAATCTCCCACCCTTACCCATATGCCCATATGTTTGTCTCTTAGCTGATTCTGAATCCAACTTTACTGACAATAAATGTTAATCATCACAGTCAGCTAGTAAGAAACAGGCTTGAGGCTTGGGGTCTAAGGTTAATTGGTTCTATGTGAGGGTGAATGGAAGCTGTTCAGCTTGTCTCTGTCTAGGGAAATGTGAACCATTTTCTTACTGATCATGCTACACACATGAGCATTAGATGCTGCACTCATTACTGAGCAGTGCTCTAACTGAAAGGGGAAGGTGCTGTTGTATTTGTTCCTACTCCCTCAAATGCTGAGTCTATGAGACTTTATCCCATTGAGCCATTTATCATTTATACTTTGAGAGATAAAGAAACATCAAAAGAGTGCTTGAGGATGAGTAAGTACATTGAGTATGAGGCTATTTCAGAATGGTTAGTGTAATGATGGAAAATGAGAAAATGTGATAGGCTTTTCATCTCAGGTGCCCTGTTCATAAAAAGAAGCACATTGCCTTGAAATCCCTATTCCTTTTATTCATTTTCTTATCCAAGTGACATTTCTAATTGCGTACTACCTATGTGTTTGACTAAAATAAAGTTCAATAGGATGAAACTAAAGCATTATTCTTAAACTCTTCCATTCCACTCAACTGAACATCCTTTCCCCGTTTGATTATTCATATCAACATTTCGCATAAATCAAGATGACAAAGTGCTAGATATGTAAATAGAAAGAAATGAGAAAAGTTCATGATTACACTGAATCAGTGTGCCTGAACTTGGCCCAATTATAAGCCCAGGTTCCAATCCATATTGAAAAAATGAGTAACATGTGACTGGGATAGATACAGTAATCAGTATGGGTGCTGTAGGGATTCAAAGGTACTAGACCACATCTCTACCTTTAATGAGTCGCTATTGGGTTAGTGAATGATGACCTGACTCTTCCCTCTACCTCTATGGTTTTACTTGACAAGATAGGTCATTTTTTGGTCAAGGATAAATACCTAAAGATTTGAATATGATTTTTGAATTTATATTAAGATTAATGATACAATAAAATTACTAAAATTATTTTACAACTATTTTAGTAAAAAGAGATCTCAAGAATTCCAAATTTCAGAATCTTGAACTTGATATTTATCCTAGTCTATGGGTCTTTGGTTAAAACAAAGTAAAACAAAAGATAAAAAAGAATATGTGATAGACAGTTATTGACTTTTCTTCCATTACTGTAACTAAAATCTATGAAAAATGAACTAATTTAATAGATTTTATTCTTTTTATTTCTTCCAGCAAAAACTCTTAATGCAGTCATAGAATGCCTGGGTATGAATAGAAATAAATGAATAGAAGGTTCCTGAAATCTATCTGGAATTTCAGCTCCAAGAGTTATTTGCAAGGATCCAATATTTTTCCAGTTTCTCATGTATATGATAAAACAAATACACATTCATGGACATGTAAAAATAGTATGCCTTGGCAAAAAGCACATTGTTAAAAGAGTTTCAGAAGTTAGCAACTCATATACTTTGAAAAGTGCTGTAGGCATTCATGGATAATTTGATGAACAGTGATTTTCTGAAGGCTTCTAGAAACTCTTTTAAAAATTGTTTTATTTTAATTTTAAATAGCTTGCTTCACATGTTAATCCCAGTTCCCTCTCCCTCCCCTCCTTCCGCACCCCCCCACCATTCCCCCCAGCCTCCCACCCTATCCCCACTTCCTTCCACATAGGGGATATCCAGAGTCTGTCATTTCACTCAGGGTAGGGTCCAGGCACTCCCCTAAGAGTCCAGGCTGAGAGAGCATCCCTCTTTGTGTTATGGACATACGATGTCTGTTTGTATGCCAGGGATAAACACTGATCCACTGCCCAGGGTCCCATGGGTTGCCCAGGCCTCCTCACTGACTCTCATATTCAGGGGGGTCTGGATGAGTCCCATGCTGGCCTCCCAGCTGTCGGTCTAGAAACTAATATTGATAATTTCTTCATGAGAAGAGATGAAGACTTCCTATGGAGGGGGCAGAACTCTGCTCATAAAACTTCTGTCCAGAACCCAAGGATGAGGCTGTGTGCATCATTTGCTTTGAAACTCTATTTATTCTTCTGTAAAATGGTTCTTAAATGCAGTTCTGACCACACAGAGTTTTAAGTGAGAAACAGGGGACAGTGACCAGCACATTGCACATGCTTGTTTAAATACTGTTACTGTAGGTCATTTTTTTAATTTAAATTTTTTCACTTTACATACCAACCCAAGTTCCTCCTCCCTGCCCTCCTCCTACTAACCGCCCCCATTGCCCCCCTTCCTACTCCCTCCATCCACTCCTCATAGGGGGTAAGATCTTCCTTGGGTAATCAATGAAGTCTGGCATACAAAGTTGAGGCAGGAGTACACCCCACTCACTGTATCAAGGCTAAGCAAGGTATTCCATCATAGGGAGGGGGCCCCTAATAGCCAGTTCATGCCCCTGGGTTACGTCCTGGTGCCACTGCCAGGGACCCTGCGAGTGACAAGTCACATAACTATCACCAACATTCAGAGGGCTTAGTTTGGTCCCATGCAGATTCCCAGATCTCAGTCCATAGTCCATGAGCTTCCACTAGATCTGGTCAGCTATCTTTGTGGGTTTCCCCATCATGGTCTTGACCCATGCCAAGCTCAGCTCAGTGTTTGGCTGTGGGTCACTGCATCTACTTCCATCAGTTACTGGAGCCAGACAGACAAACATGAATCTACATCCTGTAGATCATTATTAGAGAAGCATTTTCATGACTCCATAGTTCATTTTTTAAAAGATTTACATTTAACTTTTAAACAGGTTCATCATCCTGTTGGTAAGTAGCTTTTAAAATTAGATGAATTTCATAAGAAAAAAATTGTGTTTCCCTTCCTTGATTTGTCAGGGTATTCTTTTATTGTATATAAAATATAGGCATGTTTAATTTTCTAGAACGCAAGCCACCGAGCAGCATCAGCCTTCCTCTTCTGTTCCTCCAGAGATGTTCCTGCCAGCGAGTTATGCAGGACAGCCCTTTCAGCCAGCATCTAACTTAGACTATTATCCACACTCTTCTTCAGATGACGGTTTTGATGAAGAGCCTCCTTTGCTAGAAGGCAAGTTAAAGAAGTGTTGTTCTTAAGGTGTACACCCCTCAGAGAACTACAGCACTAATCAGGGTTTATCCTGTTCTACCAAAATGTTTCATAAAGTGCTTTATGTGTAAACATTACACAGTTAGCAAGAGTCTGCCCCACCATGACACATACAGCTAAACCATTGCAAATTTGTTGCATTATTGGGTGAAGTTTCTAAGCATGCTTGATATGTTGCTGTGGGATTGTTGGTATTATTGAATGCTCCTTCAGTGTTTCTTAGATTTGGACTCTGGCCTTGCATAAACAGGAAAGACATGTTATCAAAAGATATTTATAACAAAGTAGCATCACTTCTCAACTATCTAAGAATGCACATCATAACAGCATCATTTGATTGCTGTTTGCCTGGGAGCAATGGAGACAGTTTCTCAAATTAATGTTTCTTTATGTTTGACGTGGAGGCAAGACAAACTCTTACTTCTCTGACTCTCATGAGCTTTTTCTCTCTCTCCTCATCTTGCCAAAGCTAGGTGAAGGAGAATACAGTTCCAGCTGATAACAATATTCTTAGGAAGGATACTCAGGACTCTTGGAGCTGAAGGTCTATATAGATATCAGGAAGTTTATATTCATACCCAGGTATTCTATATCTCCATTAAGAGTTTTTGCTGGAAGTAACAACCCAAAGAAAGAACTTAAAGTTCTACTGGATTTACATTAGAGAATGAAGCATAAATGTTCAGTGGTAAATTCCCCCAAGTCATCTGAGCCCACACTATCTCTAAGTGAAACGAGGAGAAAATGAAGATTATAATTACCAATATTTTCCATAAAAGGGTACTGTTTATCTTATTTGAGTTAACACAGTCTTCTTTCTTTGCCTAAAAATGTAAACAAGAGAAAGATTTAAATCATTCTGAATAATATAGAAATTAATTGATAGAGCAGTGTGTACCTTAGAAGCTATGAAAGTTTTGTAATCAGTTATGTCTAATCATCTCATTCTGTTTATCCTCTGCAATTACTAAACAACTGAAGCTTACACACCATTTTCACAAAGCATTTTTAACTCTATCAACATCTTTGCCTTAAAAGAACCATCAATTGCCTAAGTGCATTCACTATACATATTGGAAAATATAGAAATATATGAATTACTATATGAAACAGTTAATATCTTGTCTCTAAGGATTAACTCCCATGAAACAGTTGAATGTTTCTTTCCAGCTACTATCCTATTTTTTATGTGTGCACATATTACATGCGTACATGCCTAGTTATTCCAAAAGTAAATACTATTTTTCAATGAGAATACTTGTTTTGTGTATTTTAAATTTGCCTCATACAATCATATGTGATCTTATTTTCAGTAATTATATTATGATCATTTCTATGTATGAGTTCTTTAAAGTGATTGCATTTTAGAAAACATGATATGTAATCGTCTTATAAAACTCAGGTGCCATAATTTAAATATACCTTAAAGGCTGTAGCCTACAGTAGTAATACTTTGATGAACCTCAGAGATAAAATCTTTTAGCCTGTGCATTCTTTGGGATGTGCCTGTAACAGTGGGAAAATTTGGTCTGAAGGCACGTGGAACTTGTCACCTTGACAAAATGAATTTTCTGCTGTGCCATTATAGTCAAATATGCAACATCTGGGTCAATTTGATAGTAAAATGGGAAGGATGAATACTTTTTATTTTGTATTACTAGCAGTCTGAGAGGTTTTCATGTCTATTGATTGCGTTTACTTTTTCCCATTCTTTGTGCTTTTTGTCACATTAAATTAGCTTTCTTTCCTTATTTTAAAATATGTTTAGATAGCAATATATTAACAACATTCTAGAACATTCATTTGAAGAAAAATTTCATATTACCAGTCTAATTTTCTCATCGGTCTTTGGGGACACATGGAAATTTTAATGTTTATATATTAAAATTAAGAATGATATTGCTTGCAGACATTTTTCCAATTTCAGTTTTGTTTAGACTCAGTTTCCCTAGACCAACACAGCATTTGTATCAATTTCTTCAAAGAAACTCAGATAAATAATATGTAGCATGAGTTCTAATAGGTCTTAATGGTGAAAGCCTAAAGCCAGACATAGAGGAAAATGCTGAAAGATCAGAGAGATGAAAGAGCAAGCCACAGCCACACCTTACCTCGCTAACTTTCTAGCCCAAGATACTGAGTTCCTGTCTCCTCTCACCTCATCACTTCCTCTCTCCACCCAACCATATCACTTCCTTTCTGTCGGTATACACCTCCAGACCTCTGTGGTTAACTAATGGCTAGCTCTGCCCTGTGATCTTCAGGCAAGCTTTATTTGTTGGAGTATAAGTAAGCTATCACTACAGTAGTATTTTTGTTTCATATTTTCATCAATGGTACATATAATATAAAGTAAAAATTAAACATTTATCTTAGGTAATGATCAACCTTAGTGTGTCAAACTAGAAAAGGTACTGGTATTTGTTGTTTTCTCCTTGTAATACAGGCTGATACTTGCATCTGAAAGGTCAGTGTCATAATTTATGTAAAAACAAAGATCTTAATCCACTTTTATATTTCATGTCATATACTTTACTACCACTAGATGACAGCAAAATAATAAATTTTACATTCAAGTTTTTTTTTTTACATTCAAGTTTTATAGTGGTTATATCTTCTGTTTTAAACAATAGGATGCTATGTTGGGGCCCTTACAATGAATGTATTGTAATAAATTTGAAAAGAAAATATTTTGGACATATGTATTCAGTTGAATATATATTTTGTTCGTGTGAAAATATTTAGCACACCCTACATTCATTCACGATTTAATGACTTGGTATTGAAATGTGTGTAGACCTTAATTATGCCACCAAATAAAAGGTAGAAATCAGTAATGATATTGCATAAATCACATTTTCTCTGAGTTTGTTTTTTCAGAAATAGCTATTACCTTTTTTTAAGGAAAAAGGGGGGGCATTTTTGTACTCAAGGTACTTAATTGTGCTAAACACTGAAAATGAAATTTGGAAGTGATGTAAGCCTGACATGAAATTAACTTAAACTGATATTTCTCAATTTTTATGGTCTTCTGCCATTTGAAAAACCTAGTGCAATGGAAACTCCCAGGGATCTACAAGGGTGACCACAGATAAATCTTCTAGCAATGGGAATTACAGAGCCTGAACTGACCATCTCCTGTAATCAGGAAGGCCTTCACCAACCCAGTCACAGAACCTTTGACCTACAGTTTGTCCTTCCTACAAGATGTACTGGGGTAAATTATGGGGGTGGCCTACCAATACTGGTCCAGCCTGAGACCCATGCCTCTAGGGTGAGCCTACCCGTGACACTACCTAGAGGGCCAGGACCCAGAGGCTGGATAGCCCAGAGACCCAGGATAGAACCAAACATGACTAAAGAAAGAATCAATGAAATGATCTCTGATGATATTCTGCTACACTCGTAGACAGGAGCCTAGCACCCTCAACACTGTAGAGGCTTCATCCAACAACTGGTGGAAATAGATGTCGAGACCCATAGTCAAACATTTTTCAGAGTTTGGAGAATCCTGCCAAAGAAGGGGAGGAAGGACTATAGGAACCATAAAGGTCAAGGACTCCAAAGAAAATTCACAGAATCAATTAACCTATGCTTGTAGGCGGCCACAGAGACTGCAAATAATCAGGGAGCCTGCATGGATCTGACCTAGGTCCTCTACATATATGCTATGGTTGTGCATCTTGATCTTCTTGTGGGACACCCAACAGTAGAAACAGGAACTGTCTCTGACTCTCTTACTTGGTTTTAGGACCCTTTTGCTCCTAGTGGGCTGCCTCATCCAGGAGGGGCTGTGCCCAGTCTTACTACAACGAGGGAGAGGAAAGTAAATTCATGTAACATGTGAGAGGAAAAAATTAGGGTAAAATCCTGACCCATTTTAAGCTTGCTGAATCACCCATCTCCTCTAGTGTACATGATCATAAGATACAATACACTGTAAGTAAATAGTGAAGACATAAATGTCCTCAAGTTACTCACTCTTTTCAAGTTACTTCTTTTTAGATTTTGAAATTATAGTATAGTTACATCACTTCCCCCCTTCCTTCCTCCAAACCCTCTCATGTACCCCTCCTCGATCTCTTTCAAATTCATGGCCCCCTTTTTCACTAATTGCTATTCCATTCATTTATGTATATACTTAAATATTCCTAAATACAACTTGTTCAGTCTGTATAATGTTATGTCAATGTATGCTTTTAGTTGCTCACTGTTTAGTAATGTTTATTTTTCTCAATCTTTTGTATGTCTTTCTTTCCTAACCCACTGCTAGTAGGAAAATGCAGGCCTTCACACATGTGAAGCAACTGCTTTAACTCTAACCCATCTTGTACAAAATGTGAACTTTGGAAAATATTTAAGTGGTACTTGCCACCATTAAAAAAGTCTGAGGATGGAGATGTGGCTCAGTGGAATATAATTTACCTAGTACTCAGTGTCTCTATATAAGTGAATAGCTGAAGTGTTCAGATCATCTATGTCCAGGGATATTTGTACATGCATGGAAGTATAGTATAATTTAGGAAGGTAACCTTTCTCATATGAAAGATGGAATAAATCAGATAGGTGACTGATAGGTAGATGATGATAATAGATACCAGATAGATAGATAAATAGATAGATAGATAGATAGATAGATAGATAGATAGATAGATAGATAGATACCACAGTTGAGTTCAGGAAAGTAGCCTTTCTTATATGAAAGATGAAATAATTTAGAAAAATAGATGATAAATGATTGATAGATAGATAGATAGACAGACAGATAGATTATAGAAAGATATATTAGCTGCATGTTGACCTAACTTCTCAATGCTTTACAGGAGTGAGATTGGCTAATGTGGAAACGAGATTTTCTATTACATGCTTTTGAACTCTGAAAGTTAATTAACCTCTCAAAATCCAAGACATCTGATGCATAAAATAGTAATGAATTGACACTACCTTTATCATATGTATGTTTGATTAATGATTGTAGATTTTGATAGGCCAGTAAATCCTGAGCAATCAATCAGAGCTTACTTTAGTGAGATAACTTTATTCTAATACCCTCACTCATAAAAAGTAAATGATTAACTTGTTTTTAGTATTTAATATTTAAGTATATTGATTCAATCTTACAATTGATTTATAAACATCTGCATGTACATCATGGTCACTGCTGTCTGCAAAAAGAGTCCTTATCTCTCTTCCTTGGAATTTTATCAAGTTAAATCAAGGTTACTGTTCTTTTAGTGCCATTTTTTATTTTTTATTTCATTTTACATCCCAACCACAGTTCTCCCTCCCACACCTCCTCCCAACTCCTTGCTTCCTTCCAAGCCCCTCCCCTCCACCTCAGTCCTCCTCTGCCAGTCCACCCCTCCTCATGGATAAGGGCTCCCATGAGATGTCAACACAGTCTGTCACAATAGGTTGAGTCAGGGCCAGGCCCCTCTCCCATGCAATAAGGCTGAACATGGCATCCCACCATACTGAGTGGGCTCCAACAAGCTAGCTCATGCACCAGGTTTGTGTCATGTTCCTACTGCCAGGGGCTCCTAAGTTTCACAACTGTCTCATACACACAAAGGGCCTAGTTCAGTTCCCTGATGTCTCCACAGTTGTAAGTCTTGAGGTCATGAGTTTTCACAAACTTGGTTCATCTGTCGCTGTAGATTTCTCCATCGTGATCTTGACCTCTCTTGCTCATATATCCCATCCTCTCTCTCTTCTACTGGATTCCCAAAATTCAGCCTGGTTCTTGGTTTTGGATCTCTGCATCTGGTTCCATCAATTACTGGATGAAGGCTCTATGATGATAGTTGGAGTATTCACCCATATGATTACAGGAGTAGGCCAGTTCAGACATCCTCTCCACTGTTGCTAGGAGTATTACCTTGGGTCCTCCTGGTGTATTTTTGGGAGTTACTCTAGCACTAGGTTTCTCCATAAGTCCATAGTGGCTCTCTCTATTAAGATATCTATATCATTGCTCTTCCACTGCACCCCTCCCTGCCTCGGCCATCTTGTTCTCTCCCGTTCTCATGCCACCTCACCTCTCCTATTGGTTAAGGTTCTTGTTAGGCAGAATGAAGGAAAACTCTACACCTAAACTGAGTGCTATTAACCAATTTTGCCATGGGTGATATGGTATGATTACAGAATTACTAGCAGTTAGAAATGTAGGTGGCAGAAATATCTGAAGGGGTAATCGAGACACATTTAGTCTGTTAGCTACAATGGTAGGTTTTACTATCTGTCAATTCCTATTTTAAAAAAAATAGTATTAAGATTTTGTTGCATGAAACAGATAAAAACTTCACGAGAATTGTATTAACCATTTCTTTGGGTGTGTTGTTTGCTGACTGTATACTACCTCAAACTTTAGATTTGGATTATGAGAACACAATGGAGAAATCATCTTAAGATGACATGCAAAAAAATAGATATACTAACATGCAGTGTTAAAATATAATGTAAATATAAATATAATATAAATAATAGAACTCTTCTGTTTCTTATATTTACCTTGAACTATTTATTTTCTTTTTGCAGAACTTGGAATTAATTTTGATCATATATGGCAGAAAACACTGACAGTGTTAAACCCGATGAAGCCAGCAGATGGCAGCATCATGAATGAAACGGATCTCACAGGACCCATTCTTTTCTGTGTGGCTCTGGGAGCCACGTTGCTTATGGTAGCTTCCAATAGCTAACCTGACATTTCAGGCTTTGTCTTCATCACAGCTAATTTTGAAGTTATTTATTTTAGAAAATAAAAAATCCTTTCTAACAAGAATTAGGACATGAGCTTGTATTCCATTGTATAAAAACCAGGATTATAGATGCATGAGAATAACCTCAGCATTGGGGACCATGATGCTCACTAGTCAGTAGTCTAGCAGGTGTGTGAGACACAGGTTCAGTGAGACACTCTGTCTCAGAAAAAAAGGTGGCCTACACACACATGAATACACATACACAAACACATGCACGCATGAACATATGCAGCACCCCCTTACACATATACATACAAAAGCAGTTTCTTCTAATGCAGTTATAAATATCAAATGTGTTCTTAAAAGTATGTGTGACTACATACATGTTATTTTCCCCTTTACTAAATTTATAATATGAGCCATCCAAGATATTGAATGAAATCTGGTTTCTGTGTGATTGCATCCTTTTCATCCAGTGCAACAACACAGTCACAATAACCTCCTTCCTTGCAGCACCAAAAATGTGAATACCCTCTAACTCAACATCATAATTAGAGTTCCCACTTATTCTTAGGACTCCTTGCATCTCCTTTTTCACAGTAATGTGGTAATCTTGGATTAAGCTGCTATGCAAGGCCATGCCAATTAATCAAATAATCAGAAGCAATCAATTTATTAATTCATCTTCCTCTTGCAAGTCATTTGCAATATAACAGCTGTTTGTTTTTCTGCAGAATGTATTATGATTACCATCTCTTAAAGACAGTATTAATTCCATCATCAAGATCACTCTTGGATACATAATGCTAATGCTAGTTATTTAACTGTTTTCTCTTGTGTTTAAATACAAAGCATTATCAATAAGTTAATCTTAACTGTAGGTGATAAAATGAATTTGACCTATAATTCCCAATAACTATGATCATAATATGTTGTCTACAGATTTTATGACTCTATTTCTTCACTTCAAGACAAAAGAGTCTACTTTTTTCACAAGATTTACAAGACATTGATGTTTCTTCTAGTTCTACAATTATATGGAATATGTGAAAATAGATATCATAAATTTTTTCATTTTTTATTTAGAAACAATCATTTTACATATCATCTCCTCCCTTCCTTCCCATCCTCCCATCCCCCCTGCCAACCTCCCCAACCCATCCCCCACCTGCTCCCCAAGGACAGTGAGACCTTCCATGGGGGATCATCAAAGTCTGTCACATCTTTTCGGGGAAGACTTCGGCCCTCTTCCATTTATCTGGGTTGAAATTGTATCCCTCCTTAGGGAATGGACACATGAAATCCATTTGTGCTCCAGGGTTAAATACTGTTTCCACTGTTAGAGGTCCCATAGACTGCCCAAGCCTCCTAACTGGCACCCACATTCAGAGAGTTTGGTTCAGTCCAATGCTGGTTCTCCAGCTTTACAACTGGGGAACCTGTTGTTCTCACTAGGTCAGGTCAGCTGGTTCTGTAGGTTTCTCCAGCATGGTCTTGCCTCCTTTGCTCATCCCTCCTACCTCTCTACAACTGCATTCCAGAAGTATGGTTCAGTGCTTAGCTGTGGGTACCTGCTTCTGCTTCCATCAGCTACTGGATGAAGGCTCTAGGATGACAATTAAGGTAGTCAACAATCTCATTATAGGGAAAGGGCATCAAAGGTGGCCTCTGCACTACTGCCGAGTGTTGGTGCTATCTTTGCGGATCTCTGAACATTTCCCTAGTGCCAGATTTTTCTTTAAAACTATACTGGCTCCATCTACTAAGGATCCCTTTTCTGGCTCTCCTCTTTTCCTCCCCTTACTCAGTCTTCCTGACCCCTTTTGTTCTCCTCCCCCTCCTCTTCTCCCTTTCTCTTTTTCCTCCCTCCCTCCTTCCCCTCTCCTCCTGTGCTCCCAATTGTCTCAGGAGTTCTGGTCCCTTTCCCCTTCTTCGGGGGTTCATGTATTTTTCTCTTAGGGTCCTCCTAGGCTGGTAGTCCTTTGCTCTATGTCTAATATCCATATATGAGTGAGTGCATACCATGCTTGTCATTAATATTTTATATAAACATTAGCCCTTAGATTCTTTTCATTAATAATTATAACTTTAGAATTAATGTTGATAGATACAGACCAACAATGACATTCCAAACACTCCAGCTAGATATTATCTGAACTCAGACTCCAGTATGAATTTATTTGCTGCTAAGTTAACACTGCTCTACTCTGCCTCTATAATTAAAAGTTCATTTCATAAGCCATTACAACCATTATATTAGTAAAATTTAGAAACAATATTTAAGCTCACGAAGTGCTTCTGGACATGTAAGAGTCACAATCATCTACAGAAGTGTGCTTACTTCTTGCAGTCAAGAATTAAGAGACAGAGATAAGAAGGACCTGGGGTCCCATTATCATCCACAGAGATATACCCTTAGTGACATCACTTCTCCCTACTAGAGCCAATTTTTAGAGTGTCAACAACTTCCCAAAGCACTACAGACATCCAAGTCGTTAATGCATAGGCATTAAGGAAACACAAACCACAGCAACTCCAATGTTTTTCATTACCCAATATCAACATATGACTTAAAGACATTCTCATTTATCTCTTCCCATAGGGCTATCAGTATGGTCTGAAAAGCAATGTACTTAAGCAATACAAAATTACAATTAGGGCTGGGTATTGTGCTACATATCTGTCGTTCCAGCATTCAGGAGATGGAGGTACAAGACAGACAGGCATCCTGTCTCATAAAACCAGGCTGGGGATGTAGTTCAATGGTAGAGCATTTGTCCAAAATCTGCAAGGCTTGTTTTTTTTTTCTTTGAGACAGGGTTTCTCTGTGTAGCTTTGAAGCTTTGAAGCCTATCCTGCAACTCACTCTGTAGACCAGGCTGGCCTTGATCTCACAGAGATCCCCCTGCCTCTGCCTACCGAGAGTGGGATTAAAGGGGTGAGATACCACCTCCTGGCAAGAAAAAACAAATTTAAGCATCTAATAAAACATTAGAACGCTAAGAGTTTTAGATTAAGATGTGCTAATATGGGTAAATTTTCTAGGGAGAATCCTAGGCATTTGAGGTAAAAACCCGGATAATTTATTTTCTATTTCAATATTAAACATTTGTTAAAATTTGAAAAAAATTTGTAGGGTATTTTTGATACTATTTATAAATGTCTAAGACCATATTAGATGTTTTATTATTTTGCTTAATCATTCAGCTGTTCAGTAAACATGGGGCAGAAATACACATGCTTCACTCCTTGCACTCTATCAAAATGTATAATAAAAATATTCTGGCAATATTTTATCTTTTCTGTAGCATGCCTTGTCCATCCCAAATATTTTACACACACGTGCACTCGCGCGCGCACACACACACACACACACACACACACACACACACACACACACTTGTTTGGAGTTCATGGCACAGGTAGTGTTTTCTTTTATTTTAACCAGAATCTTCAGTACCTCATGATAGATAGTACCTACCATGATATTCAGCAGCATTGAGTAGATTCTTGGATGCTCTCTGTGTTGTTGTTATTATTATTTCTCCTCACGTCTGTTGTGATTTCTAATTGTTTTCTATGCTTTGCTTCAGGCAGGAAAAGCCCAGTTTGGTTATGTATATGGAATGAGTGCCATTGGCTGCCTTCTGCTTCACACCTTACTAAACTTGATGAGTTCTGCAGGGGTGTCATACGGCTGTGTGGCCAGTGTGCTGGGATACTGTTTGCTGCCAATGGTCATTTTGTCGAGCTGTGCCATCTTCTTTTCATTGCAGTAAGTGTCTGTACTAATTGACCTCACATTCATGATCTTTGCCCAGACCTGCCAGACCAGAACAGTCATGAAGGTTTCTTAACATTTTTTTCAATGTAAGAGAGGGAAATCATGCTTATTAAATCTATACACAGATTCAGAATAAAAAGGTCAGTTTGGCTGTGGTGCTGCTCTTTTTTAACTTGTTTAAAAAATAAATCCAACCATGCAATATTTAAAACTGGTACTTTTAAGTTGTCATATTCTTCAGTCTAAACTACTGGCATGGGTATTATAACAATTGCAGAAAATTCACTTATTTGATTTTGGAAGAGTAAATGCCTACTGAATTCTGACAAGTTACTTCAGTGCCCAGGCATCTGCCTTCTAGGCAAGACACAACTGTTATTTCTCAGTTGGACTCCTCACTGTTGAGAATTTCCCGAAACCCTGATGAGGATATTAATTCTGGAGAACTTATGGCATACATGGTCAGTCAATACATTTTCCCTTTCTTTTTCACTTAGGCATCTGGCATTTGCAATTCTAAACTATTCATAAGGGTACCGTAGATGTGTTTCCCACAGCACCTTCCCAAGGCTCATGCATAACACTAGCAGTCCGTGACAACAAGCAAGCATCTGCACAGCTACCTGTCATGTCCACAAAGCACTTGGAAATACACAGCTACCTGTCATGTCTACAAAGCACTTGGAAATACACACGCACCCTTTTGCTCATTTTCTCATGTCCAAAGGAGATGTGACTTGCATCTTGGATGACGCAGGTCTTTGGTTATTAATGCTACACTGGAAGGATGGTACAGAGAGTTTATCACTATGAGGATAATCAGGTTAGAAAAGAAAAAGCTTATATTTTTGTCATCATAACATTTATTCTTATGAAATTACTGAGAGTGATTGCTCATTTTGTTCAAATATGGTCTCTTTTTTTACTATAACATTCTTGAGAATTGCTGGAGCCAAACATTGTTTTATCAATGAGTACTCGAGTTAAACAAACGAATTTGACAGGAAATGGGCACTATGAATGTAAAAGTACAAGTTATACTTATTGTGTTTTATCCACAGAAACATACTAGTGTTGTGTAACTGCTGGCTCTAGCATGTTGTTCTGTTTACAGGGCTGTATTTTACAGAACTTTGACAGATTCTTGTAGTTTGGTTCTACAAGAACCAAACAACTTGATGTTTTTGCAAAATAATAATGCAATGATGTATTATTTTAAAATTCCAAGTGTCAAAGGATATTTTCAGAGTGTCTTAAATGACTGGAATGCTAAAGGACAGAGAAATTTATTCATGAAATTTAGATTTGGAAATCACCAGAAGTTTAGACATTTTGGTCCTGAAATTCTAAGGGATAATGTATGTGTTAGATTCTCATGACTGTGATGAAATACCTGAGAAAGTAATCGTATAAAGAGGAGAGCTTTCCTATGGCTCTTGATGTCAGGACATGGTTGTTATCTTTCTTCTGTGGAGAGGCAGACACGGTGATGAGGAAACTGTGGGACAGAGCTGCTCATCTTACTTCCCTGGAGAAAAGAGAACGAGAAGCAGGTGTTGGTTGACCAAACCTCTAGGTTCAACCCCAAAGTTAACTCTCTCACTTCCAGCTATAACTAGCAACCAAATGTTAGCAAATGGAATGTTAAAATCTAAACTGTAATACACGATTTAGAAACACATTACATGAAATGGGAATAAAATACGGATGTTGATGAATGAGACTGATTACACCAGTGGTTTCTGCCTTTGCTTGTTCTAGATTTACTAAAAATATGAAAAATATCAGTCCTGAACAGTGGATTTTAATGAAATATTTCTGACTGGCTGAGGTCTTGTGAACTCATCTAGGTACTCATGCATCTTTGCAAATGGAGGCCAATGTTCTGAACAGATGTAGTACTGGTATTTGAGAGGCAGCTTTGACTCAGTCTCCCCCCTCTCCTCCAGGCATAAGGCAACTGTCATCTTTATCTCTGCTACAGGGGCACCTTGGGAACTGCGTCAGTCCTGCTCATCATCACTTGGTGCAGTCTCTCAGCTTCTAAGATCTTCATTTCAGCCTTGTCCATGGAAGGACAACAGCTTCTTGTCGCTTACCCCTGTGCCTTATTTTACGGGCTGTTTGCCCTTTTGACGATTTTCTGAAGACTGTCTGGTGTGGCTTTGCTACATCCCACTTGCTCGCTGTTCAGATTTTTCTGGAAGTGCATTAGCACTCAAATTCAGCAAGACGACTTATGTTTTATTGCTGTTGAGAGAATATTAAGCAGAGAGACAAAACGGCACTCAAGGATAGTGCTCTAATAGCCTGTTTGGTAGGGATGATGTTTTGATTTTTCAGCTTGGAGCATTAAAACACTTAAAATGTTTTGAAATATTAAGAGATACAGTCTAGGTGCTGATAGATGTTGCTTTTTCTCATCTCAATAGACATGTTTCTGAGAAATTGTGAGTAAAATACCATCCTCTTAACTATAATAAATGTTTTCCAAAAACTTCCATGATTCTGTGTGTGTGGTTAAAAAGTACACAGTTTGGCACCTTTGGAGAGTTCAGGGGTTTTATTTACTCAGAGTCAAAGAAACACCTTTACCTACTTAACAACTGCTATTCAGTCTTATTTGGATAATGTATTGACTCACTAAATTTTCAGGTTCTTTCTTCCCTCTCTTCTGCTCTAAATGCTATAGTCTATCACTACAGCTCTCTCTTGCATATACCAACATAATCTTACTATAATCTCTCTAAATAGATAAATGCTGCTACAGAAAATTCCACCTATTTGTAATAATGCTATTGAAGTTTTTGAAATGGTTACTCAGCACTGTTCTTTAATCTTATACTGCATTTTTGTTTGAAATTTGTTTTCATACTAAGATGACCAAATAACACCTGTATTTTATTGATCAACTCCCTAATCTCTCTTCTTCATTAGTTATTTGATCCTATTATATTTAAAGCTGCAAGTGCCTAGATAATCATTTCATCTTTCCATCACATCTACTCTGCCTCCATTTTTACTACTCTCTTCTTTTCACATCACTCTTCCCTAGTATTTTCTCTCTCAGCTTTCATTACAATAAACATTTAAACATTTCTTTAGTCCTCTTTACAGAAAAGCAATCTTGAAACAGTTATCTTTTCTCTGCATATACCTTATTACCTCCTCTTTGCTCTTCCTGGCCATCAACTCAAGTTGTTGTCCTGTTAATATGACCACCTTTGTCAAATTGGTAATAACATATCATTCTACATCCAACCATAAATTTTGAGTTTCATTTCAGTGGTGTGGTATTGGCTTGGTCTTTTTGCCAGTCTCTGGTTTGGCTCCTGTATTGAATTATGGAATTCTTACAAGAATTTGCAATAGCCACCTATCTTAGCTCTGTCACCTAAGCTGGTCTTTCTTCTACCTTTCAATCACAAATCTAATATTAATCTGTTAGCTATGCTCATTCAGTTAAACAACTATTTCCCAGCCAACTGCCAGCTAAAGGAAGAAGTCTTCTCACTGACTTCTTACTTCCATGCATTCTCTACAGCAAGGTTATTTATAGACATAGTAGGTGAGAGCCTTTACATGTGCATATCTATTTATGGTCTTACCCACTCAAGGCCATTTTATGACTTTCATTCATATGTACAAGAAACCTCAACCTCCTTTGTACATCTCAGAAACTTTCCAGTCAAAGGCTGGCCCTTGGAATAACAGATAGCATTCTCTGGAACCCTCTGAAGAGCCGTAAAACCCTGACCCAGCCCCAGAACTTCTGAACTGGAGTTTGCATTTTAACAAGACCCCAGATGAATTAGATGCACAATAAATTTTGAAAGTGCTTGCCTGAATGATTTGGCCATGTGACATGCCTTACCCTGCTAACTTCACACTGAACTTCTCCCCCCACCGCCCCTGCTCACTGACCTTACTGTTGCCTCTCACAATACAAAATTTATCACTACTGAATCTGATTATTTATTCTGTTTGCCTGCCACATTCTTCCTTCAGAACTTTCATATGATTCAGCTCTGTGTTCATGCCACCTCCTCTCCTGAGGCCTCCTTTTGTTGTTACGTTTCTACCAGTACACCTCCCACCCAGTTCATTCTCCTCTGTTATACACTAGGCTAATTATCTACAGTTATTTAATGTCACTATACTTTAATTTCTTTACTTCTCTTCCTGCTCTCTCTTCGCTCAGAAGATAAACACTGTTACTCAAATTCTTTTCTTGAAACAGCATTCTTGAAATTATCTTTGTTTCTATTTTTAAGAATGTTTTTGTTTGCTATTTGAAATTTTCTCTTTCTATTTATGGGGTGAATTGGATAGTAATATCTGTGATGAGTAACACTGTTTAAGCTCTGACACATGAATGTGGGGCAAAAATAGACCAAAAGCAAATAATAGTAATCAAGTGAGGTAATTATTGAAGTATGAGACTGCTAATGTGCATGCATGTAGAAAAGAAATCTGGGTTGCAGCAGGTATTAGAATTCTATGGTTTAATAATACATTAACAAACATTAAGTGAGTGTAGAGTTTTCTTATGTTCTAAGCCTTTCTGTCTGGAATATGATGGTTCTACTTCCATGCTTTATGTAAAGCAGGTGAAGCTAATACACCATCCACTGTATACTTTTGCTATGAAAATATCCTGTTGCATAGAGATACACTGTGAACTAAAAGTTGTTTCCTTTGGAAAAGACTTTTGCTTAAAATATTTATAGATAATTTTTTAAAATTCGCAATGTGGCTTGACATTTTTTTCTATAAAACTAAGCATGCAGGAAATGTTTTATATTTACTCTGAAATTTCTTGACATCTCTATGAAAAAGCAAATGCTAAGTATTTTCATTTGGTAGGAAATAAGATTGCATTTTATTTAATAATAAAGGACAGAATTGTAAAATAGCTAAGAATTAAATTAATATAATAGGAAACATAGGTTCTCTATATGAATATAAAATTTTTAAAATAGTAAAGGCATATTTCAAGGAAATTTAGTTATGCAGACAGATAAACTATAATATATATGTATGACATATATATTCATGAATAATTCCCCTGTTTAATAAAATTTTACTTAAAAATTCCAAGAATTTGGGCATTAACAATGTGATTCTAAAATTGATATATGTGTCAAAAGCATCAATTAAACTATGTATTTGAAATACATAGTTCATGCTAAGTAAATTGAAATATTTTGGCAGAAAAATCACATGAAACAATGCATGCAAGTAAGTTTTTACTTCTTCTGCTTTTTTTTCTAGATAGAATCCCACTGTGTAGTCCTGGCTGATCTTGAATTTACTATGTTGTTCAAGTGGCTGAAAATTTTCAATACCCCTGCTTCAGCTTTCTGATTGCAGGAGCACTTTGCCTTCACAAGTTCAGTTTTCACGTGCTGCTATTTAATGAGGAGTTACTATTGGCTGAGCTAAATGCTTCAAACATGACATGAACTGCTGGAGAGAGTAACTGAATTATAGGAAGAAAGCAGGAGGAGCAGGATGCCTGACAGGAGTGGAATGGTGCCTGAAAGACTCCAGGGCCCACTGTTGAAGTCCAGTTGGAATCAGTGTTGCCAATTCAGATCTAGCTGTCATTTGGATACATAATCTTGACAAAGTTTAGTTCTTTACCCTGTTCCAAGAAAGGTGTTCATTCCATAGAATCATAAAATGCAGGTATTCTTTTTACTAATTGGTAACATCTGGAATTTATTTGTGGCTGGTAGTATGTTTGAAGTCACAAATGATGCAGTGAGTGGAAGCTCACATGGACGCACAATAGAAATGCCTCCCAGGAGTTGAATTTTCCTTCCTCTTTTCATCAAATGTGTTCAATCTTTTTAAATCTGGGAATGCAACTTTTTCTCTTTCCTTTTCACTTTCTGTTTTACTGACTAGATGAAAGTTACAGATTATTTTCCAAAAGATAAATGACACATTCGGAGTCAAGAGATGGCCTCCATTTTGACAAGAATGATTGGGGACATGTGCTGAAAATAAGAGCCCTGAATTACTCAGACTCGAGTGGCCCAGTTCACACAGCTTAACTAGGGCAGTGGCCTTTGAAACGGCTTATGACAGATGCTCTGCTACTTTCTCTCCCTCTGAGAGAGTAATGCCAACAGCAAAGGCCCTTTAACAGCATCCTGCTTCTCTTTTTGTGAGCAGGCCGCAGGCTCCCCTCTGCTTCTATTCAGTCATGTCTACAACTTGCTACATCAGTTTCCATCTGCAATGAATGTGTGTGTGTGTGTGTGTGTGTGTGTGTGTGTGTATTTTTTTCTTTAAGTTTCAAAACCAAGTAGGCTGTCACAAAGAATCAACAATGGTGGTGAATGTGTGCATGTAAGTGTGAGTGTAAACCAGTTTGTTTCATGTAGGTAAAATTCATGAGCTTTTATATTGCTACAACCCAAAGGACAACATGCAATGTTAAGAACAATGAATTAGTAATCATAGACAGAGACTTGAAGGGGAGAATGAAAGAAGTGAAGAAGAGGAACGAAAGAAGGAATAATAGCAGTTGTATTTTGACTTTGCAATAAAATGGAAACAGTTTGACTTCTCTGAGACATATATTTATGTATATATATGTACTATTTATATATTGCATGTATTATGTATTATGTATATATTAATCTTGTTTTCTTTACACAGAAAACTAAATGAATGATTCAAAATTTGCAAGGCTCTGTTGAGGACTCAGTAAGACTTTGCTTGTGAATGACCTAATTCAGAGTCCAGCACATACTAATTACTCGGTAAATGGAAATCTGCCACAGTTTTGAGAAACAGTTTGAGATGAGATTTTAGGCCATTTCCCCTATATTATTATGATACACATATTTCCTGAAAATAAGTTATTTTGACATTATGTATGATTGCTGAGTGAGATTATGTCAAGGCCAAGCTAACTTCTTTTAGCTAATGAGTTTGAAAGAAATGGTTTTATTGACATTTTATTCTTGGTGAATGAAGCATGTGAACATCTTTCCTACCGTGAAGCTTTTTGATATGCCCTAAAGAAGATGGCTCTTTTTGTTCTCTAGAGATAGAGACTGATGAATTCAAATATTGCAACAGATACATTTTCTCAGAACTGCAAAATAAATGATAAAATAAAACAAGAAAAAGAACAGAAATGTATATGAAAGCAAAGAGACTAAATCAGGCTAGATTTATCTATTATCAATTAATCAATCTGTCTATCTGTAATTTATCTCTATCTATTTGTCATATACCTACCATATGTATCTCTATCTACATACCTATCATGTATCTATCTATCAATTAATACCTATATATCTATCATCCATCATCAAAGTTGATTCTCTGTCTCACCATTCCTATTTTGTGTTGTCTTTCAGGCCTTTTTTGAATTACTATCCATCCAATATTTTAAAATAGTATTTATTTTTATATTAACTATGGCCAATTACTTCTGGTTGTTTATAAGAACTCTTATGCTATTGGTAATATATTGAGCATCCAATACGTTTGGTAGCAATAAAACCTTTGTTTGTACTACACATCAGAATATCAAAATAGATATAGAATGTTGAAGTGATATCCTTTGGATTGTCTGAGAGAATACAATTATCTCATATTATGTGGCATTAATACACAGAGCATTTAGATCTGGAACGGTCACTGTTGAAGAATTGTTATCACAAAGGCAGTGCAGAAAATTGGTACTGGAAACTGAATTCAATTAAGGGAGAGATTTCAGGTAACTATGTGGATTCCCAGACTCCGTAGATAGATTATGAATGTGGGTATTATCTGTCCCCAAAGCAGAGCTTTGGAGATTTTAAGTATTATTTATTGTGTACAAAGAGATGAGTAACACAATATAGAAGAAAGGAGGAGTGCAAGAAAGAAACTGTTAAATATTTCATAGAGGATAATCAGGGTCAAGAGCAGGATTGGCAAGGAACATCTGTGAAAGCCACAAGAGTCTGAGGGTCCTCCCACTAAGAGCAAGAAGTATGCAGAATTCAAGTCACCACCTGCCACCAAGTATACAGCGAGATCATCATCCAAAGGCACTGAAACCTCAATTTCATTAAAAGTGTGCAAACCAGGGACTCCTGCTTTTTTAATAAAAAAGTGTGTACCCTGTAGATAAACAGCTAGTCTGATTTTTCTCATTGGGGTTGTTTATTGAGCAGGCAGGTGTGAGAAAAGCTAGTCCAACAAAGATAAGCAAGGTTGCTCCTGGGCTGGGAATTTGTAGGGCAAAGATACATAAGATCCTTTTTTATTACTGGGATTTTTTAGAATGTAGTTATTTGTAGAGGATCCCAAATTTGATCTTCCTCATTAACATAGGGAGTTTGATTGAGCAAGTTCTAGAAAAGCATACAGAATGAGAAAAATTTGTAATCCTTAATGACTAAGAAGTATTTATTTCATCTATATTGTGTATGGCCCTAGAACTGTCTCTCTAAGGAATCAGTCTGAGAAGATGCTGTACTCTATCTTTAATGGGTCCTGGTTACTGTTAAGAAACATTCCTTAAGGAAATCAGTAATTCAGAAACATGAATAACTCGTGCTTGATGAATGGTATGCATTAACACCAAGTCTGTCTTGTTAGGAATTCAAATTCCAACAAGATTTCCCAAGTCAAATTCCCTTTGGCATATATTTGTTTCAATAAGCCTCTTGTCATTTATAAATTTAGATGAAATAGACCCCTTAAGTAGCCATTAATATTTGCTTAAACTGTACATTTTCACAGATAATTATGTTAAACATGATGATAAATTCTATTTACTAATATTTTCTTTCAATCATAGGTTGCGCCAATCTCGAGGAAATTCCTCTTAATTTGAGCAGAACCAACTCACTAGAATATTTTTAAATGCTCATCAGACCCATACTTAATTGCTCACATATGGTCTCAGCATTTCAGAATTGCCAGACATTTGGTTGTGAGACACTTAGTGACTGAGTGCTGCTGACACCAGGCCTCCTCTTCATCCCTAGTTGTGCTACATTTTTCTCAGCATTTTTTCACTCTTCTACTCTGGCCTTCTACTTTCAGTTGCATCCATGGGTAAAAGGAGGACAGATAAACACTCTGTGTGCATTGAAGACATATGAAGAAACTGAATGACTAACCCGTGTTTACACAGGAATAATGTTTTATATAGTCTAATTTCCCCATCAGAAAAGAAGCAATATTATAGAAGTCTAAGCCAAGAGAATATAGTGGTAATTTTACATATATTTGGTTGGCATTCTGTGTCTGACCCTGTTGCAGGTGTTATTATGCCTATTCATTTGACTACACCTTCAATGTGGCTTAAATGTCTGGTGATTATTAACCATACCAATTAGCTAGGACTTCCTTGAAAAGTGCAGTAAACTGGGAGGTTTAATTAGTAGAAATGTACTTATAGATGTTAATGTTGAAAGTTCATGCTTAAGGAATCTTCAAGTTTGTTCTCACACATGGCCTATCTCTTTGGCCTAGAGATGCCATTCCTTGCCCCTTCCTTCATTTTTGGAAGACATTTGCTTATTTATTTGCTTGCTTGTTTGCTTCAACTTAATAGTATATTTTTATTGTTTTATATACATATATATGCTTGCTCATATACATAATTATAACCCACTGAATTAATCTTTTGATTTTACTATATGTTTCATATGCTGACCACTTTGTAGGATAACCAATTAGGTGGTTTATCATTGAGAGAGCCTAATTCCTCCTAACAGCTATTAGTGGTCTGTAGTTTTTGTCTGTGGATGGGTCTCCATGAGATTTCCCTGCTTCCCCATTAGCATGTCTATTGATATTACCATTGTTCTGGTCTTTTTTTTCCCAGCTATTTCTAGGATAAACTGTTTCACAGCAGACTTCCTGTTCCTTGGACTCTTAAATCATTGTAATCCTACATCCATGATTTTTTTCTGAGCTATAGATGTGGAAGCTGTGATGTATATGTATCCCTCGTGGCTGGGCTCCTGATGATCCATTGATCTGTACCCTCTGTCCAATTGTGGTTCTCTGATGGTCTCCATTTTATGCAAAGAGAAAATCCTTTAATGATGGTGGTATTTACACTTATCTGTGGACAGAGGATAAGACTGAAAAATATAGTTAGAAATGTGGCAGTAGTGGATTCTCATTTAAGATCTGTGACTGGCTCCAGGAACTTGGCTAGGTGTTTAGCACCAGGCATGACGTCCTTCCTGCTGAGTGAGCCTTAAGTCCAATTAAGACAAAACATGGTTATAATGAACATGTGAGTGCAACTTATTGCACCTTTACAGATATCTTACCATGCTGGTCCCTGTTGGGCTTAATAGGTGTCACAACTGAGTAGGACTATTAACTGCTTCAATTCCTTTGCAGCATTCACAGTATTTTCTGGTGGAAGTCGGGCTACAGGAAGGAGACTTTCAAGTTAGCTTCAGATTGAATTATCCTTGTCTTGTGTCCCAAGTGTGAGAAAATCTTCAACAGTAGGGATATATCTTCCCCCTTTGAGTAACAACCAAGGACTAGAGCAATAGTAAATATTTGGAAGAACTCACTTGGATGCTTTGACCAATCATTGGGTAGGAGGTTTCTGGTGCTTGTATACTAGGGTGTGTTTTGGCCTATAATTATTTTGGGGAGTAGACAAAGCTATTTTGATCACATGACTTCTACCTTGAACATTGTTGGGCACTCTAACTACAAGAGACATCTATCCCTTGTTCCTTTCCCCTTGACATCACAACAACTGTGCTTATTGGGCAACAGTGAATCCCCTTTGGGCATTTTACCACCTGAGTTCCATTACCCAAGAAAATAGTTTTTCAGCAGCTCAGAACATAGATTAGCCAAGATAGTATCCTTGTCTTCTGTTTGTCTTCAAGATGTCCTGGTTCAGCCCAGAGGAAATTCCATGTCTGTAAATAATTAATTAATAATAAATTAATGAATTTTTAGTAAAACTTGTACTTTTACTGTGAATTCTATTTCATACAGTTTAAAATATATTCACTGAAGCAAGCATACATAAAGTGGTTCTTAAATATTCCTGAACCAAAAAGCTTCTTAAGGTGCAATTGGTACTGTCAACATTTCTTGTTTGATTTTAATGAGGAAAAAAATTAAAAGCAGATTTCTCTGTATGGCCAGTCATTAATCATTGTAAAGATAGCTGGGAAGCAAATTAACTGACACTATACACTGTTTGCCTCCAGAAGCTAAGTAATCATAAAAACACTGCAGGAAAATTCATTATATATGTACACATATTATTAAGAAGTGATGATAATGAAAAATGTTTGAAATCAAAGGTAAGTGTTGTTGTTGTTCATACTGAAAAAACCTAAGAATTCCAGTGTTGATTAACCCCAGCAATTCTCTTCCCTTTGTGACTCTTCCCAAATGTTCCTTAGGCCCTGCTGTTAGATTTCCTTTCTTGCTGCTCCCAGCTCTGCATCAGTTCTCTGCATTCCTGGCAGACTTGTAACATGTACTGTATCCTGTCCTGCCCTTCTTTCAAGTGCAAAAACCATCAGAAAGAATCTGTATACCTCTGTGGGAGGAATGTCTGTACCTCATCCACTCAGATTTGGTGCCTAGACTTCTATGATCTTCCATTTAACATATGACCACTGTAGCTACATTCTGGACTTTGTTATTTTTCAGTATTTTTCCATCCTGACATTTAGCATTCTCAGCTCCTCAGTTTCTTTCTTTTATTTGTGCATTATTCTCTGACTCCAACACATGTAACTTTTGTTCCTCTGCAGGTCACGTGTCAAGGTGTCTTACACTCTCATCACCCTAAGCCTGTTGTCCTCTTGTTCTACTAAGCTGCACACAAATTGAGATTAATATCTGTACCTGGTTTCATTTTTTCCTGGCTTGGTTTGATGAAATCTACTAGAAAACTGATCACACAGATTTGTAAAAAATAAAAATAAATACATAAAAATTTAAATGAAAGTAAAATGGAGTGAGGAACGGTGCTTAGTAATACCATTACATAGAAAAATGGTGCATTGCCATTTGGAGCCCTGTTCTTCTAATTGTATTTCTGTAGAAACACAAGTAATGGGCACATTACTTCACAAAACATTCTCAATATTATAAAACACAATTGGTATAAGAACTTCTCTGTGATGTCTCAGATTAACAATTCTATATCATGCCTGATTTATGCTTAACTTTCCCTTAGTGGTGGGTGTTTATATTGTTGCTGATAAAAACTGTCACCCTTTGTGAAGAATGAATTCCTAAAGACAGAACTGAGACATTAAAAACAGTAATAGCTTAAAGTTTCTTGCTGAAATTTAGCAGGTAGACTTTGAGAAAGATGGGGAAACTACACTAATAACTAGAAGAGAAGCTACTTTGTCCTGTTCTGGGCACACTGCTTAGCTTAAATAGAAGTTATGACAGCAGTCAAATGTCTTTATGTGAACAAAAATTGTGTGTGCAGGGGTAGGGAGGGAGAGAAGGTCAGAGGGAAGATAAGGGAAAGAATGTTACTCTGGAAGTAATATGTACCAAAACCCCACTAAAGAGTTTCGATTAAGATTCCAGTGTGTCATGCAAGATGCATTAGGTTAAAAAGAAGTTGATATACTTTCGTTCTGAGTACAAGTAGCTAAATCAAATGACTTGACAGAAGCTGAGACTGTCACTGGTAGTTTTTCAGATGAGTAGTGCAATAGTTTATGTCTTGAATGCTACAGGATTCTTTGTGAGGAATCCGACTCCACTTCTGAACTCTCTGTGTGATCCACAGTCAATTGTCATGGTAGAGAAGAAGGCTTTGCAGAGGGCAGTTACCCTCCTTAGACCAGCCTTGTGGCACAGCCTATGCAATATGATTTTCTGGAAAATATTAAAACTAATTAGACTGACTTACTACTACCTCCACATTCCTGTGGGACCCTCTTTATTTGGCCCCGAGGGACCTGAGCACATCCCAGGAAGCTCCTCAGAAACCTTAACTAGAGGTCATGCCTAAGGCACTGTTCTCTGTTTTGATGCAGTACTGTTCCCAGCCACCCTTTCAGTTCACAGATGCACAAGGTAAAATCTTTACACTATCTAGGCAGTGACTTGGTCTCTGCCATCTGTGTTGCAGACTCCTGAGCCTGCATAGTCCTTCATTGCATTTCACAACTTTCTGAAATATAGTCCGTGAGTTTTTGGGGATACTTTGGTGACTTTCTGTCAAAAACATGAATCATGTAATACTTTATGTATTAATGAATACAAGTATTACATGTAAATGTATATTTCTTGAATGAAGATTGTTGTGAAATTTTTCTTTACACTGTGTGGAGATGTGTCATTGTGATTGGTCTAATGAAGAGCTAAATGGCCAACAGCTAGGCAGGGAGAGGTTCAGATGGGACTTCAAGGCAGAGAGAAAACTCTCGCAAGGTGCAGTTGCCAGTTGAGGCAAGAGGCAACAGACCTGAAGGAGGAGAGGTAAGAGCCACGAGTTATGTGGTAACACATGCACAAAAATAAATAGGTTAATTTGTTGTAATAGTTAGCTACAAACAAGCCTAAGCTATCCAGTGTTCTTTTATAATAAATAACAAGTCTCCATATCATTTTCTGTGAGATGGAAGCCAACAGAAAAGTCTGTCAGCAGAAGATGACCCTTCGTATGTATGTATGTATCGTCTTCCCTCAGGCAATCTTTGCTAGGAATTCGCTCAAATACTCATCCAGAGTCCTGTCTTTCAGTAGATTTCAAATCCTGTCCAGTTGACAATGAAACCATTGTCTTTTCTCTCTCCCCCTTCCTCCTGGTCACAGTGTGAAGAACATGTGAGAAGAATAAGGAGTAGATATAATATTTATGTATGTATGTGTATATTAATTTATTAAATCAACTTTCAAATAGTAACAACAGCTAAATTACACTTGAGAAGCAGAGAACCAGGGAGTTACTTAAGTCCTTAAAACTGGGTGCCTTAACAGTGGGAGTAAACTCAGAATATCTGTCATTCACTGGGAACCAACAACTGGTAGTTACTCAGTCCATAAGGCTGGGTGCCTCAGTAGTTCCAATCAGACAACAGAAGTCTGGAAGTTTCCTGGGGAGCCACTGGTGCTAAATCTAAGCAGAGAAAGCTTGGAGTTTCTGTTTCTCTGCTGTCAGTGATGGAATTGTAGTAGCAGCAGCAACAGGGCAAAACAACTTCTTGGCAGGAGGATAAACCATGTAAGTAAAAGATAACACCTTTCTTATGATTTACCATTTATAGCTGGACTTCTTTGAGAAGGTGCTGCCCAAAAGTGGGGTTGATCTTCCCACATCAATCAAGGCAACTGGTACAGTATATCAGCTGAGGCTCCCTACTCAGATTATAATTTGTGACAAGTTGACATTGAAACCAATCATAGTATATATGTATATGTAAACACCTCCCAACAACACATACAAAATTAAGACATCATTACAAAAGAAAGAAGGAAAGGTCAGATTTAGAGATGTAGGATGCCAGAAGCACCTTTACTGACGTCATGGGTTTTAAGTGAATAGCTTATTATGTCCTTTACTGTGTTGTTTCCAAATTCATTTTCAGTGTGTCTTCATTTGGATCTAGAGTATTTAAGATGGAAGCAAATTTAATGAGATCATAAGAGTTGAGACTTTGTGCAATAGGCACGATGTACTTTTAAAGAACAGACACCAAATGTTTTCTCCTTCTTCCTTCTGTTTGTCCATTCTTCCCACAATCTTTTTATATTAGTCAAGATTCTATAGAAAATCAGAATCAGACTAATTGGATTTACTAGACTGGCTTACAATCAATATGGGATCAATAGTCCAACATGTGCATTTTCATGTTGGAGAGGCTGTGAGAATTCCATAGATACACAGTTCATGAAGCTGGATTTAACAGAAAGTCTCAATTCAGTGCTGAAGGCCTTTAATGTTATCAGAGTCACTGGCCTTCATTCCATGTCAGAAGTAAAAGAAGTTGTATTCTGAGACTAAAACCATGGTAGTAGCAGTTGCAGCAAAAACTGAATAAGTAAAATAACATAAATTTGGAAAATTGGATAGATGTACTAACTAGCAAGAAGAGGAGGCAGAAAATAAGAAGACACCGATTTTTCCTGGTGTCTCTTTGTATCTTGGTAGTCCAGCAGAAGGGGGACTTTCTGGGGGAAGATTCCTCTTCCCTCAGGTAATCTTTCCTAGGAATGCCCTCAAAGACCCACCCAGAGTCCTGTCTCTCAGTTGATTTCAGATCCTATTTAGTTGATGATCAAGAGGTCAATCCTCTTTTTTCTCCCTACTCCCTACTGGTCACTGTAAAAAGAACAAGGAGCAGTCCATAGCCTAGAGTTTCCTACATAGTGGGCATGAGCTCTACCACTGAATAACATCTCCAATCCATACACATTTTATATCACACCACAGTAGAAGACACTTTGGATACTCTGAAAAGAGCAGTTCCTGACCTCTTTCCTTCAGTGTCATTCTCACATTTTTAGGCTATGTTGGTGTCATCTGAATTGCTCAAACAGAGCACCTGCCATCACATTTCCTCCACCTGCAGAATCTCTGTCCACGTGCTCAAGTTTCTAACTTGAATGTTATAGAACCTTATGAAGTCTGACTGAACACCGAACGATCTTCATTGGTAAGTCTACTTTTTAAAGATCTAATTCTTGTGAGCTGCCAAGATATCTCTACCTAGGTATTATGAAGAATGCATACATGGAAACTCCTTCCATACTTGGTAAGTACATTTCAATGACATAAACACCCTTATTGACAATAACATCGTTTGGTTTGGGTTAGCTCAAATTTGGAGTTTCTCAACTTGGAATCAATGTCAATTGTTCTTCTCTATCAAAAGATTCCCCTGTCCTTAGAAGACCATTAGTAGGAGACAGTACATTCATC